ATAAATGAGAATTTTATTGTTGTCTACGACACGGAGTTTATTAGTGGATTTTAATTCACAATGAACGCTAGAGCTGGCAAATTCGGTTGCATGATATACAGGGTGTCCCGAAATTCATGCAACACAATTTGGTCATAGATTCTTAAGACAAATTTAGGGGACCCGTATTTTTTTTTTGCCAACTGGCCCCCTCTTTCGGAGTTACAGCCCCATCAAATCTAACAAAAATAACAAAACTGAATTGCACCTTTACGTGTTCACACATACGATCGTATTCGACAAAAATGGCAGAGTTCTGTTGCGTCATTACGTAGGTGGGCTAGCCCCCTAAGGAGTGGTGTGACGTCACAACATGGCTTCTATGCGTTTTCCCGCGCTTCAATAATTGTTTTGAGCTAGAAACAATTCTCTCATGAAAAACATAGGCTAATTGATCCTAATATCACTGCAACCCAATGAGTTGGCTTCAGCTGCATTGTTTAATATTGCCAGTCAGCTGCAAACCTCTGTGTGCCGTTACACCCGTTTGGAAATTAATTAGAAGTCAATTCGTGCTGTGCGAGATCCGTTCAGGAAATTATAAGCCCTTTCGGTCGCGTTTGTGCTGCCTTACGGCATGGCGTGCGCTTCCACCTTTATTCCCGGGGCTTTGATGTGTTGTTTCAGTGGCACGTGAAAAAAAAAAAAAACTAGTTTCTATAGTTTCCAGGCCCATTTTCGGACAGAGGTATTAAAGGTGCTATGGACGAAACAGATTATTTCGGGAGAGTAAACAACGCCATTAATAACGGGCCGTAAAAACGAAACCGAGAATCCATCACCAAAAATGATTAATGGTGTTGAAGGGACACTCGAGCCTTGCGTTCTTCCTAGCTGGATAGTCTGGAATGCACCTACACAATCGTCTACATTAAATGATCGAATCATTGTTCGGCCACGGCAACTCGTTCAGGATGTGACCGGCCTAAAAACGAGAGCGGAAAGCCCTAGCGGTTGTCTTTATCGTTTTCCTCTGCTCGTTGAGAAAAGTTCGTTTGAAAACAGATCGGTCGTAGTAGTTTTTGATTTAAAATAAACCGTTATTAAATAGAACCGAATATTTATCTCGGTGTAAGTTGCGATTCATATTCAATTAATTTTTGGTTAATAATGTTTGATGAACACCAATAAAATCAATCAAAACTACATAAAAACACGGTGAAGTAACTATACTGTTTATTTAATCCGTGCAAATTGGTTTCGAACAGAAATACGCAGTGCGTGATAAAATTTAATCAAAACGGATTATGATTTCTCTCTAAACAACTAAACAAATTTATATCATGTTTTGCGGATTAGGTTATCATTTGCTGAGGTTATTTTCACTTGAAAGCACGTAAAACACATGCGCGTGTTATTTCGTAATATTTAAATTTTGATAGAGGAGGGGGGGGGGAGGGGACGCATTAGTTAGAATGGGTCAAAGTGGCTTTATAATACAACGAAATACATCAAAATAGTTGCAGGAAGTTAAGGTCAATGGCTAGAGGTCAAAATGTAATTATTAGAGGCCAAAAGTCAACGATATGAGAGGTCAATGGTTGAAGTCAAGTATTGTTTGAGATATTTACAGATTTGTGGAGGATTTTGTTGTTTTTATCATGTTTTTTAAAATATTCTAATTCTGAAGTCAGTGACTAAATAGGTCAAAAGTCAATTAATCGCCGAAAGGTCAATGACCTGAGGTCAAGATTTTTAGAGGAATTTTGAGGAGTCAACGGTCCATGTCCTAAATGTCAAAGGCCAATTTTCTAGATCTCAAAATTATTTTGACTGGGATCAAAGATCGTCGTCCTGAGGTCAATGAACTGAGGTCAAAGGCTTTTCGAAGTATTTCAATGTATTTTCAAATTATTTTATGGCATTTTAAAATTTTAGAAGTATTTCGATGATTTTGGGATTTTTGAAGAAATTTCGTTGTTAATTGGGGGCTAATTTTGACGAACTTAGATGTATATAGCTATTATAAGGGAGGAGCTAAAAATCAATGTACTCTGAGGTCAAAAGTTAATCGCCGGAAAAATCAAAGGTCAATGTCCTGGAGGTCAAAGGCCAGTGTCCTAGATATCAAAATTATTGACTGGATCAAAGGTCAATGATCGCAGTCAAAGGTCAATTGCCGGAGGTCTTAAGATTTCAATTTATTTCGAAGTATTTAGTGGGGTCAAAAGTCAATGTCCTAACGGTCTGATGTATTTGTGGGTAGCCACAATGAGGGAGGGGGCAAAAGTCAGTGACTAAATGGGTCAAAAGTCAATCAATTGCCGTCAATGCCCTGAGGTCAAGGGTGTTAGAAGAATTTTGAGGAGTTAACGGTCAATGTCCTAAATATCAAAGGCCAATTTTCTAAATCTCAAAATTATTGACTGGGGTCAAATATCGTTGGCCTGAGGCCAATGAATTGAGGTCAAAAGCTTTTCGAAGGATTTGAAAGTATTTTAATGTATTTCGCAGTATTTTGAAATTATTTTATGGCATTTTAAAGTTTTAGAAATATTTCGATGATTTTGGGATTTTCGAAGGAATTTTGTTGTTAATTGGGTGTAATTTTGACGAATTTAGGTGTATATAGCTATCATAAGGGAGGAGCTAAAAGTCAATGTACTGTGAGGTCAAAAGTCAATCGCTGGAAAAATTAAAGGTCAATGTATTGGAGGTCCTAGATATCAAAAGTATTGACCGGATAAAAGGTCAATGATCGCGGTCAAAGGTCAATTGCTGGAGGTTTAAGATTATTTGAAGGATTTTAAGGTATTTAGAGAGTAAATATGTCAACTTAATTCGAAGTATTTAGTGGGGTCAAAGGTCAATGTCCTAACGATCAAAGGCCAATGTCCTAGATCTCAAAATCACTTACTGCGTCAAAAATCAATAACTGGCATCAAAGGTGAACGATAGGGGTAATAAATCGTTGGCCTAAGGTCAAAGGTCAATGGACTGAGGTCAAAGGTTTTTTGAAGGGGTTTGTTTCAATGTATTTCGATGTATTGAAGTTTTTGAGGTATTTCAAAATATGTTATAACTTTCGTTGTTTTTATTGTTTTTTTAAATCTACTGGTTTGACGAATTTTTATTTTATTAATATGTAGGTAGCTACTATCAGAGAATGGTGAATTTGAGTTCATGTATCTTACAATATTTTGAATATTTCAAGTCCAATCTTTGGAAGTTCGTAGAGCTATTAAGAATTGTTTTAGCAAAAAAACGTTTATCTTGCTTTTTTGTTCAGTGCTGAAAGTATGTCGCAACGGGCTTTTACTGGAATTAATATATAAAAAAGGGGCAATTAGGTAGCGCTCGGTGCACAAAATTTACAGTAAACGGTTTTTCTTTTATTACCAAAGTGCATGGGGCTTGCGGAACCTAATTTTAAACTCCACCTGAAACTGTTCGATGGGAGAGCTCCTCTCGATAAAAACCGCCCTAAAAGGGTCGCTATTTGTTGATTAATTAAAGGAATAGTTAATATGCAAAAACCGGAGTTTGCGGATGAGCATGCGAATGTTTAATAAATGACATTAAGTGCCGCAATGTAACTTCTCGAACTTTATAATGAATAGATAACCGAAATAGGACATTTCGAAACTTCTGAAACATTAGATGACCTCCAACTTAGTTATACAAAGCCCTGCATAAAGTTTAGCCACTCTTATTTGTCTCATCTGCCTGAACTTTGGATTTGTACGGATATCCTTGAATTGATTTCAACCAAACCAAATAACCCTATAAATCTATCGGGATTGATCATTTCCAGGGCGATTTCTTTTTTAATAATTCCATTCGGCTTTGTTAATACACATCTATAATGTGGCACTGTTAAATTTTAAAATAATTCCCAGTTCATTTCATAAAAAAAATTATCAAATCGTACTATTCATAGATACTCTCAAAAAACTGATTTTGGGGATTAACTTTGGGTGTGGTTTTCACCCCCTAAGAACGTTTTTCTGCAGAAAAGAAAATACGTATGCTTGTTTTTTGGGGACCCTTGTTTGTTAGTAAAATCACATTTTAGGTATCGCAGACATATACCGATTTGTAAATTTACATTTTAAGTGAATTATAGAAAGTGTGAAATTACATGCTTAATGTAACTTTACTTGTATAAAATAATTTTACGTTGCCTACTACAGTCACAAAATAGCCAATGATCTGTTATGTAATTTTACACAAAATGTTTATAAATGCAGAATTTACACTCATAAAAACTACGTAAATTACAATGGATTACAATTATTTTTGACTCCGCATTTATAATAATGTAAAATTAGTTGTAACATTACATTTAGCATGTAATTTTGCACTATAAATCCTTTAAACTGGTAAAATTACACGAGAACGTGTAATTTTACTTAGTAATACATCTTAAAATGTAATAAATAGTACAACTGAAAAAGTAAATGTACTTATACGATTTAATACACTTAAAGCGGACAATTTTACACAACGGGGTAAATGCAATGATCCTAGTTACGTTTTATGCTTGTAAAAATCACTAATTGATCGAAGGCAACATTTTTGTGTGAAGGATTGGATAATTGGAAGGTCGAAGTTATGTTTAATAAATTATTAGGGTCGATGCCATAGGGCATGGCGCCTCTGTCACTTTACCCGAACGTCACAGTTTCGATCTTTTGTAATTAGAGAGAACATCTGCTATGTTGATGAGAGGAATTGACATCAGCTGGCGGTTTGAGTGTCCCTCAAATAATGATGTTTTTCAGGTCTGACTCGTCCTTTTTCCGGCGAGGACTTAATAACATCGTTGGCCCTGGGGTTGATCCACTTTATGGAAACATAAATGTCTTCTCCACGCAAGTTTAAGCCTTTTAGATGACCCGATTAGAATCGGGGGTATAAATTAAGGAAAAGAAAGCTCCCACAACCACAATTTAGTAACAGCGATGCAGTTTTAACTTTTTTTTTTATTATTTTTAAAACAATATTATTTGGAATATAACCTTACTTACCGTTGTAGTTTTCTTGCATTTGTCAGACGCAGCAAAAATATTCAGTTGGGTCCCACCTTTCGGCAAAGGGCATTGGTCTATGTCGACGCGGCGCAAGTCGATGTCGATTCCACTCGTGCCCCTAGAATCCAGAAAATTGAGTTATCGGATTGCATTTCATCGAAATCAAATCATGTATATTCAATTATTCACTGAAAAGTGCGAGTACACTGAAATTAGAACAATTAAAATGAGCAGTATGTTACGGAATTCCAGTTGAATGAAAATTCACAGTTACATTGTAAAGTGGCAAAAAACATTTTGTTAAATTACTTTCAACTTTAATGGAATTTCATATTTGAAGTAACTTAAAAATTTAGACAAAGTTACCTTAAAAAAAAATTATTTTGTTGTAAAAAAAATACAGTACTGTGTACGCGAGTAGTTATATGGAATCAGAGAAACACATCAGTGGAAAATTACATTAAATTACATTATATTTGAAGTAAATTACAAAACTTTGCGAATTAGAGTTACAATAGACGTCAATGTAAAATTTCAAGGATATTACATTAAATGTACAAGAATAGAAAAAATATATTCTCATCACCTAAACATAAAGAGCAGTTACATTATCAGCAAGATATTATGTAAAATTACATGTAAATAGATTTTAACTTTGAAATAAATAATATTTGCGAACTGAGGAATTACATCAGTCGTCATCGGAGTAGATTAGAAACTTAGCGAATTAGAATTATAACAGTCATCATTGTAAAATTGCGATACAATTACATTACAGTGGCCTTGAGTTCTCAATGTAAAGTTACATTAAATTTATAGATGTCCGAAATTGATTAAAAACTTTGCGAATTAGAATTAGAACAGTCATCAATGTAAAATTACAAGAAAATTACATTAAATTTACAGCAAAATGTAAATTCACTCTAAATTTTCTATTGAGGGGAATCATATTTGTAATCATCTTTATATCCGTAACAAATTAGAATACAGTGTTCTTGTGTTCTCAGTGTAAAGTTACAACGAAATTAGATTAAATTTATAGATGCCCGAAATAGATTTAAAACTTTGCGAATTAGAATTAGAACAGTCCTCAATGTAAAATTACAAGAAAATTACATTAAATTTACAGCGAAATGTAAATTCACTCTAATTTTTCAATTGAAAGGAATCATATTTGTAATCATGTTTATATCCGAAACAAATTACAATACAGTGGGTCTTGTGTTCTCAATGTAAAATTACAGCGAAATTTCATTAAATTTATAGGTGGCCGAAATAGATTAAAAACTTTGCGCGAATTAGAATTAGAACAGTCGTCAATGTAAAATTGCAAGAAAATTACATTAAATTTACAACAAAATGTAAATTCACTCTAAATTTTCTATGGAAGGGAATCATATTTGTAATCATGTTTATATCCGTAAAACAAATATAAAACAACATTAACTAACACTTTTGCTGCATTTTTTCAAATCACATTTACAGAAAAATGTAATGAATGTAATGAAAATTGCATGAATTGGTATATTTGCTGCGTCTATTAATTTTCAATAATGTCGCTTTGAACGTATCCACAGAAATGTGTACAGTTAGTTTCGAGTAGTTCAAAGTTTGCGCGTCATTTCCAACTTGGCATTTTGCAGATAGACACTGAATAACTTAATAGTTCCAAAATTCAGTGTGATAAAAGTAAGTGAAGGTAAATATTCGAGAAGTTCGACGCATATCGAACAATGCTCGAAAAAAATTCTGTTGAAACATTGGTCACGTTTAAACTTTAAAAACATTCGATTTCTTTCTCAGGAACTTAAGTTTTCGGGTAAAAATAATTAGGTACACTTAAACTGCGTGTAAAATATCATAGATATAATTACATACATCACTTTTTAAGGACATACTAAAAATAACCTACGTTTTATTCGAATGTTTAAAACATTCGGATGTAAAAAAGCACCGAGCAAATATCTGGCGCGGCAGATACTCCACGATATTCTTTTGTTTGTCAAACAAACGTACCGGATTTGAGTCATGTTAGAATAACTGCAAATATTTGCACTTGTTTTCACTATTTATAAAATGAATTTATCACGTCTGCGATACAGTTCGATACGCAATTTTAAATTTTTTATTGTTTTCCTGACTGAGCTTTTGTTTGTACCTATCCCTCCGATTCCACGAAAATAGTTTTTTGCGAGTGAGAGGGTAAATAAAACTTGTTACCGCCCAAAAAATTCCTAGAACTGTGTAACATCCACGCGAATATCAAAGCGGAATGTCGGGGACTTTATATTTATCACGCCGAGGACGTTTCTCGACGAAACACTGAAGATGGTTAGGCCTTCCGGAGCTACAAGGGCCAAGGCAGTCCGTAATGCATCTCGGGTAAGTGTAGGGGTCCTGCTCATATGAAATTAACGCTCCGGATCCTCGCGAGCTGGGGGAAATTTCAAAGCTACTTATTGAATTGGAAGATTGTGGAATGCACAATATGCTGAGGTTGGCCGCAGTGCCTCGAGGTCTGCTACGAATAGCCTCTTGGATAAAGAAAGATATTAATTAATATTGTTTAAGTTGTAGCAGTCACAAAGTTCCACAAAATTACGAGCGCAGGTTTGGCCGACGTAACGTTCCTTTAAGTTTTGTTTTCATAGAACGTTTCAATAAAGATATTTTAACGTACTTTGATTGACATGTTTGTATTGTTTCAGTAAGTGTTGTTACCTGATTGATGCGATGTTATTTTAACGGTTTTGTCAAAGAACATTCAATTAACGTTTCAATAAAGAATATTTAACGTTTTTTATTAAATTGTTCATAACGTTTGAACAAGTTACGTTACCTGGTTAATATGATGTTTTAACGTTTTCATTTTAAAATAACGTTAATTTAACGTTTTTAGGTTTGGTTTTGTTTATATTTTTAGCATTTTGTCAAAAAACGTCAAGTTTACGTTTCAACCAAGTAACATTTTCAAGTTTCTTGACTAAAACATCTAGTAGATGATATTTGATCGATGTAATGTTCGGGTTATTTAATATTACTTTAACGTTTTCGGTGAACGTAAATTAACGTTTCAATAAAGAACATCAGACCGATTATCGATTGAAATGTTTATAATATTCAAATAAACGATGTTACCTGATTGATATGATGTTCTTAATGTTTTTTTTTCAAGAAACGTTGAATTAACGTTTCGATGAAGCACTTCAGAACGATTTTTGATTGAAATGTTTATAATTTTCAAATAAGTAATGTTACTTGATTGATGTGAGCTCTTAATGTTTTTTTTTCAAGGAACATTAAATTAACGTTTGAATACATTTTAGTATATGGGAATATAATTTTGTTTTTTATTGAAACGTTTGTAATGTCTTAGCAGCTGATTTCTAATTAAAGTAATGTTATGTTAACGTTTTTTAATGATTAAATGAACGTTTCAACAAAACGTTTTTTTCCGAATAGGTGTTACTTGATTGATTGTTTTAACGTTTATTTGTTTTAAAAAACTTTAAATTAACTTTCGATAAAACACTTTTAAAGTTCAAGTAGATTGACGCAGTGACGTAAATTGAACAAGAAATTTGATTTAAACGAGTTTGGTTATATTTTTAGCAAATGGGGGTATAATTTTGTTGTTTCCAATTTATCATTCCTGTGCACGTCACGCTTAAAGTGACAACACCGGAACTAATGAATGTAAAGGTGCTGAAAATAAAGCATCCGAGCTGAAATAAATGTTTTTTATTCAAAACGACCAGCGTCGGGCGTTTCCTCAATTAAAAACTTTTAATGGATTTATTCGCAAATTCATCAGCGGTTTCTCTTGCAAAGGCCAATCCCACGGTATATCGTCTTTAAAAAGGAATTCTTTTTCGGGTAAGTAGGTCAATAATGTATTTCCATCGTTAAGTTCCCCCTACACTTATCCACTTGAAATTTTCATCGGTAAGCGTTTAGGCATCGCGACCCGTTATCCAGCGTCGGGATCGATATTATTTATCATTTGACAATATATATACGCTAATAAATAAGAGATGCAAATCCCCTTGGGTTCTTATCAGGCGTATTTGATTAGAATTGCGGCGAGACGTTCCAGATATTGGGATCCGGCTATGATTTGCATATTACTTATGTTATTGGATGTACCGAGAAGGACGACTTGCCAGACCATTTTAACGTTTTATTGATTAACGTGTTTACAATGTTTGAGTAAGTGACGTTGCCTTATTGGTGCTGTTATTTTAATGTTTTTTTTTGCAAATAACGTTCACAATTAACGTTTCAGTAAAGAACATTTTAATGTTTTTTTTATTGAAATGTTTATAACGTCTGAGTAAGTGGTATTATTTGATAAAAGTCTTTATCGTTTTTTATCTAAGAACGTTAAATTGACGTTTAAATTGAAAGTCTATTAATGTCAAGTATTATGTTACTGATGGAGTAACGTAAATTGAGCAAGAAATTTGATTTAAACAGGTTTTGTTATATTTTTAGCAAATTAACGTTACTTCAACAGTCGAGTTTAACGTTTCAATAAAGAACATTTTAACGGTCTTTGATTGAAATGTTTATAATATTTGGGTAAGTGATGTTACCTGATTGATGTGATATTTTAATGTTCTTTGCAAAAAACTTTCAATTAACGTTTCAATAAAGAACGTTAAATTAACGTTTAAATGGAAAAATTTTTAATGTCAAGTAGATTATGTTACTGATTGAGTAACGTAACATGTTTATAACATCTGAGTAAGTGACATTATTTGATTAATGCGATGTCTTTAACGTTTTCTTTTTCGAAGAACGTTAAATTAACGCTTAAATTGAAAATTTACTGATCGAGTAACGTAAATTGAGCAAGAAATTTAATTTAAACCGGTTTGGTTATATTTTTAGCAAATCAACGTTATTTCAACAGTTGAGTTTAACGTTTCAATAAAGTACATTTTAACGTTCTTTGATTAAAATTTTGTAATATTTGGGTAAGTGATGTTACCTGATTAATGTAATATTTTAATGTTTTTTGCTAAGAATGTTCAATTAACGTTTCAATAAAGAACGTTAAATTAACGTTTACATTGAAAATGTTTTAATGTCAAGTAGATTATGTTACTGATCGAG